TTTTTTTTATTCGTCGTAAGTCGAGGGGCGGATCCTAATTGCAAAATCTATATTGGCTTATAAAAATTTACTATTTTAAACGTATTTTAAGTTTGTAAGAATAAAAAAATCATCACACTAGAGATGGGGTGGGTGGGCGGGGTTTATATTTTGCCCTTTTTACTTCCCGAGCGTAAGCAAAGGAAGTATTGTAATCGAGTCCGTCGGCCGACTCTCTACTTTTACGTTTTCTCGATCTTTCATGACCCCTAGAAGACGAAGAAATAGGTCTCCCATTTCCGTCTGTCTGTCCGTCTGTCCGTCTGTCCGTCCGTCTGTCCGTCCGTCTGTCCGTCTGTTGTCCCGGATTTTTATTAGACAGATAATCTCCGAAAGTACTCGACCGATTGTTGTGAAATTTTGTACTTATATTAAGAATATCATGTAGATGGTAAAACGCTAACCAAAATTTGTCTAATCATCCCCTCCACTAATGCGATGACGTCACTTCAAAATTGTACATAGTAAATGGGTTTTCAATTGTATAAAATAACATAGTCCTACACATGTAGTTTACAACTCCTAATCGACTTTTCACCCGAAACGTCCAGATTTTTGTAAAAAAAATCAAAATTATAAAACAACATTTTGAAATTTAATTTTTAATCTGCTAACCAGAATGCTTTGAAATGTTTCAGATGTTTTAAGGCTATAAAGAGCATCATAAATCTTTAGTCAAAAAATATTTGCTTACCCCCTCCAAAAACTTGATGACGTCAGCTCAAAAGTTTGTGGAATAAATCATATCTAAAATGTACAAAATATGATGAGTCTGTACTTGTGATCTATCACTCCATTCATATTTTTTGGATTTGCATATACAGGGTGACTCAAAAAAATTAATGAATGCGTAAATATATTTTATTGATTTAATAGGAACTACAAAACCGAATGCTCTGAAATCTTGCAGATGTTTTAAGGTCATAAAGAGCATAATAAATGTTTAGTCAAAATATATTTGCTTATCCCCTCCAAAAACTTGATGACGTCAGCTCGAAAGTTTGCCGAATAAATCATATCTAAAATGTACAAAATATGATGAGCCTGTACTTGTCATTTATCACTCCATTCATATTTTTTGGATTTGCATATACAGAGTGACTCAAAAAAATTAATGAATGCGTAAATATATTTTATTGATTTAATCAGGAACTACAAAACGGAATGCTCTGACATCTTGCAGATGTTTGAAGGTTATAAAGAGCATAATAAATGTTTAGTCAAAATATATTTGCTTATCCCCTCCAGAAACTTGATGACGTCAGCTCGAAAATTTGCCGAATAAATCATATCTAAAATGTACAAAATATGATCAGTCTGTACTTGTGATCTATCACTCCATTCATATTTTTTGGATTTGCATATACAGGGTGATTCAAGAAAATAAATGAAAGCGTAAATTTATTTTACTGATTTACTCAGGAACTACAAAACCGAATGCTTCGAAATCTTGAAGATATTTTAAAATTATCATAAGCATGGTAAATTTTTGATCAAAATGTATTTGGTCGTCCCCCCTAAAAAATTTATGACGTCACCACAAAATTTTGCTGAATAAATCCTATCTAAAATGTACAAAATATGGTGAGTCTCTTCTTGTGATTTATCATTCCATTCAAATTTTTTCGATTTGCATATACAGGGTGACTCAAAAAAATTAATGAATGCGTAAATTAATTTTATTGATTTAATCAGGAACTACAAAACCGAATGCTTTGAAATCTTGCAGATGTTTTAAGGTTATAAAGAGCATAATAAATTTTTAGTCAAAATATATTTGGTTATCTTCTACAAAAAACTGATGACGTCAGCTCAAAAGTTTGCCGAATAAATCGTATCTAAAATGTACAAAATATGATGAGTTTGTACTTGTGATTTATCATTCCATTCATATTTTTGGATTTGCATATGCAGGGTGACTCAAAAAAATTAATGAAGGCGTGAATTTATTTTATCGATTTAATCAGGAATTACAAAACCGAATGCTTTGAAATCTTGGGAATATTTTAATGTTATTATAAGCATGGTAAACTTTTGTTCAAAATGTATTTGTTCATCCCTCCTAAAAAAATTGATGACGTCACCCTTAAATTTTGCTGAATAAATCCTATCTAAAATGCAAAAAATATGATGAGTTTGTACTTGTGATTTATCATTCCATTCATATTTTTTAGATTTTCTTAAGAGGTGGTTCAAAAAAATTAATGAAGTCAATTTATTTTATTGATTAAATTAAAGGCAACACTTATTATTAGTATTACACCCCAACCAACCCAATTTGGTAGACACAAAATTTGTTAAAGGAAAAACTCGGTTGAAACATAAGGGTAGCACGCTTATTTACATCGACTTTAACATTACAGACCTGCATTTGTTTTATGCGATCACTTGGTTCCGCGAATGTGAAATAGACATGTTTATAATCAACCAATTGTGAATTTCACCGTCAAGAATTAAAATAAAACCCAATGTTTTATATAATAAGCGGAAGTCGAAGCAATAAAACCGATGGTCGTTTTGTTTACAGTTTCTCTGTTTGACTTTCACGTATGCTGTTACGCTTGTCATCTTAAATTAAGAATGTTTATACATAAACGATTTTCAGTTGCCGTATACGCGAGTAAATTGTTTCGTTATTTTATTGATTATAAAAAATCAATATTCAAAACGACCCAATTCATTTTCCCGAAAATTTGGGAATACAATAATTTTATTCTTAGTATTACACTACATCTATCCCAACTGATATACGTGTCCTTGCAAAAATGTTGATGACGTCATCGCAATTTTTTTTAAATTCCCATTACAAAAATGTAATGAGAAAAAAAAGCAATAGCCATGCAGTCGTCAAGTTTCCGACAGCGAGGGAAGTACTGTCTAAACTCTTTAGACCAATTTTTTCTTATTATACTTAGGATTTTTTTAAGAAGACGAGACTCAAAAACACGTTTTTAATTTCTTGTAAAAAACGAGTATTTTGAAGTTAAGCTCCCCCTCCTTGGTTCACGGCCAATAAAAAACTCGGAACTTCATAATTCTCAAATCCTCAGAACACCAGAATCCTCAAATCCTCAAAACATCATTATCCTCAAATCCTCAGAACATCATAATCCTCAAATCCTCACAACACCATTATCTTCAAATCTTCAACACCAGAATCCTCAATTCCTCAGAACAAGAGAATTCTCCAATCTTCGGAACACTAGAATCCTCAAATTCTTAGAACAGTTTGTCCTTTTTTGTCCTTTTGGTCTTTTTTCGTCCTTTTGGCCCTTTTTCGTCCTTTTGGTCCTTTTTCGTCTTTTTCGTCCTTCTTCGTCCTCTTCGTCCTTCTTCGTCCTCTTCGTCCTTCTTCGTCCTCTTCGTCCTTCTTCGTCCTCTTCGTCCTCTTCGTCCTTCTTCGTCCTCTTCGTCCTTCTTCCTCCTCTTCGTCCTCTTCGTCCTTCTTCGTCCTTTTCGTCCTTTTTCGTTCTTTTGGTCCTTTTCCGTCCATTTGGTCCTTTTTCGTCCTTTTGCTCCTATTTCGTCCTCTTCATCCTGTCTCGTACTTTGTCGTTCTTTTCGTCCTTTGGATTCTTTTTCGTCCTTTCCATCCTATTTCGTCCCTTTTGTCCTTTTTCATCCTTTCCGTCCTTTTTCGTCCTTTCCGTCCTTTTTCGTCCTTTTTGGTCCTTTCCGACCTTTTTCGTCCCTTTTGTCCTTTTTCGTTATTTTGGTCCTTTTTCTTCCTTTTGGTCCTTTTTCGTCCTAATTGCAAAATCTATATTGCCTTATAAAAATTTATTATTTTAAACGTATTTTAAGTTTCTAAGAATAAAAAAATCATCACACTAGAGATGGGGTGGGTGGGCGGGGTTTATATTTTGCCCTTTTTTCTTAATATGCATAGTATTTTTTTAAGAAGACGATACTCAAAAACACTTAATTTCTTGTAAAGAAACAAGTATTTTGAAGTTAAGCTCCGCCTCCTTGGTTCGCGGCCAATAAAAAATTAATCACAATTGAGATAGGGCGGGTGGGTGGGGTTTACAATTTGCCTTTTTGTTTTAATAGATGTAGACTTCTTTCCACAACATTAAACTTAAATCATGTTTAGGCTCCGCCCCAGAATTGCAAAATCCATATTTCCTTGTAAAAATGTACCATTTTAACCATGTTTTAAGTGTCTTGTTGTGAAAAGATGGCAATGCATATTAAAAAAAAAAGCCAAATCTAAACCCCGCCCGCCCGCCCTGTCTCAATTCTGATGATTTTTTTTATTCGTCGTAAGTCGAGGGGCGGATCCTAGTTGCAAAATCTATATTGCCTTATAAAAATTTACTATTTTAAACGTAGTTTGAGTTTCCAAGAATAAAAAAATCATCACACTAGAGATGGGGTGGGTGGGCGGGGTTTTATATTTTGCCCTTTTTTCTTAATATACATAGTATTTTTTTTAAGAAGACGATACTCAAAAGCACGTTTTTAATTTCTTGTAAAAAAACGAGTATTTTGAAGTTAAGCTCCGCCACCTTGGTTCACGGCCAATGAAAAATTAATCACAATTGAGATAGGGCGGGGTAGACTTCTTGCCACAACATTAAACTTAAATCATGTTTAAAATGGAAAATATATATATGTATAAATATGTAATGTTGGAACGAATGAAAAAAAAATGTGTTGTTTGTAGCGAACCGGTAGATTTGCAGTTGCCAGTGTATGAACCAAGCTATGAGGAAGCTCCAGTGGAATATACACCAGAGCCCGTGGTCAAAGAATTCAAGGAGAAACGAGTCGACTCTTTGGGTACTGGAGAAACGAGTTTTAAAAGACGGAAACTGGCTAGTGGGGCTAAGCACTCAAGACAAAGATTAGACGACGATTAGTTTAGTTACCTGATTTTGAAGTAGAAAGGTCCATTAATAAAATGGTTTGCATTTGATGTGAATTTCGGAGCTGAAACCTAACCACTGATCCACACGCAATGTTAACAGTTTTATTCTACTAAAAATTTTATTACATGGTATAAATTATATAATATTAATATAGTTAAATGCTAAAATTTAACAATACTATCTTTGGACAAAGAAGAAATGCATACTTGTGGGTTATGAAATGATTACTGATAACATAAATTTTAGTCTCCATTTTCGCCTTCCAGACTATAGTGGTGTTTTCTGAGCGCCATTAATCGATGTCTCTCTTGTTCCAGCTCCTTTTCTAACTCCAAAACTCGAACTTGAGATTCCATTTCTAACCTTTTTGCTTGGTGTAGGGTTAGATTAGTCGCGTCAAATTCCTCTGCAACAATTAATTTAGACACGTTTCACAAAACCGCTGCTAACAAGTACCCGCTTCATCAATCAACTGGCTGCAATCCTTGACAGTCCCGACGACCGTTCCAGTAGCCCTAGTGACGCCCTTCGACGCTTGCGTGAGCTGTTGTAAATTCCCGCTATTCCTATCAGCTTTAACTCTACTCGCTACCACTAACTGAGCAGTTGAAGCCGCGATTTCTTGAGCTGCTACAATCAGTTGTTCCAGTTTTCCGTTGGACGAAACAACCTTGTCTGCTGCCGTGCTACAAACAAATTAGTAGTGGTCTAGAACCCCCACTATAGTCACACTTACAGCAAAAATTTCGCCGCGACTGCGACCGCTTTGGCCGCTGAAATAAACCCGTCGGTCCATTGATGGTTCCTTTTGTAAAATTCTTTGGCACTTGCGGTTCCCTAAAATCATAAATATTGTAACTTTGGTGGCAATTATTTCAACTACGGACTTTTCCTTGAGCAATGATTTCGGCTTGTAGTAGTTTAGATTTTGCTACTAGAATTCGTATAGCTTGCATTAGGTTGGTACAAGAGTCTAAAATTTTGCTGTTCACTTCTAGCTTAATTCCAGAATCCCTGCTCCTGGAGTTGGTTAACATTTCCTAAAAAATTAAATAAGAAAAGAAAAGCAGTGACTAACTGTAACTAAACTCGTAATACCTGCATTCGTTTGGCCGTTTCTTCTATAACTTTGTCCATTTCTGACATCTCACTCTCTAACATGTCTGCAAGATTTCCGGCGTTTTGTCCCATTAAAGAGATGTTAATATCGTCTGCTAACGTCGCAACTTCTTGTAATTTCTGGATGGTTTTCGTCTGCAACGGTTTAGTGTCTGTCTTCTCCTTAAAATTTTGCAGAAGTTGTAGAACTATTTCACCCAAATTTTTACACTCTTGTGCGATTTCTAAAATACAGAAAAGAATTAATCATCCCTCCAAATGATATAACAATAAATACTTCACTTTCTCCAAAACTAATATCCGGACTTTTATTAGCCGTGGCCCTTCCTTGTAGAATAAAAACAACAATTCGATGGGAAATTTCGTTGGCCGTGACCAACATGTACGAATTTTCGGAAAATATTCGATCAGTGTCGTAGTTTAAAACCCCCAAGCAACTTTTCGAGAGGTCGTTTAAGTAGTCGGGACTACAAATAAGTGCGGTCAAAGCGGGATTATCAACCTCGTGTATCGCACCCCTTAGCATATTTTCGCTACTCTCAATCGCTTTCAAAATTATATCTTTAATATCGTCTTGAAAACCGCTCCTAACTGTAATAAAAACACACAATTATAAATAGTTTTTTTTTTTCAAGTTTACCTTGGTCGATCTGGCGCTCCAACTGCGACTTTTGGGTCGAAATTTCCTGAATTTCCGCCTCCAACCGATCGATTTTCGTCTGCGCCGATTTTATCTGCATATCCAAGTTGTCTCTATCGCGACAAACATCGTCGATGGTTTTTTTCAAAATCTCCGTCTCCATATTAAACAACTCTTTATCTCTTTTCAAATTTTGCAATTCTTCGTCTTGACTGGTCGCTGATTGTTGGAAACGGTCCTCGACTTTGGAGACTTCGGCCCGCAAATTCAGCACCGTCGCTTCCAGCTCGTTTTTTGTTTGTTCGTAGTTTTCGAGCGTTTTTGCCGTCTGAGACAACTTTTTTTCAATGTCGGCTTTCTCGCGCAATTTCTGGATGTGGTCGTTGCGCAGCTTCACGTAAACGTCCTTCAGTTTGTTGAATTTTTCGTCTTTGACTTTTTCTGTAAAAAAAAACGAGGTAGAGTGTTTGTCGCAGATGCTGGTCGAGTATTACGTTCGGAGTCCTGCGACTGCGCGACCGCGAAGGCTTGATTCATCAGTTCTTCTTTGACCTGGCGCTCTTGTACTAATTCGCTTTCTTTGGTAACTAAGTCTGTTTCCAGAGCCGTGATTTTGTTGTGAAAATCGTCGACGGTCTTCTGGTTTTTAAGCAATAAAGCACTGAAGTCGGCACTACGAAGGGAAAATCAGTCTCGCGAAGTTTTGAGGTTGTTTGTACCATTGTTTAAGTATATTATAGTTGGACAACCTAATACAAATTTTGCTTCGCCTAAATAGTGAGCTTTAGGACAAGGAATCCAGGGGGCGTGGGACAAATTTTTCATCAACGCGCATTTTCACTACAGTGAGCCAACGTATTAGGTTTATTTTACTCTACATCAGATGGCGCCATCAAACATTAGCAAAGGCAAACACCCTTCACTCTGCTCTCATACGAGGAGTTATCCATAAATCCATAATTAACATTGTTTCGTAAACAGTAATGTGTATAAACATATATGTACAAAATATGAAAATATACTTGACATAAAAAATATGAAGCAACGCGTTGTAACGTGATAAGAAAGAATTGATTTTAAATGAATTTGACGCATATTTTTATTTGACTATATCTGAAGACTGACAGAAACTTTCCAAGGGTTTTTAAACTGGTATAATTGTTTAGTTTTACAAGATTAAAGTAAAACAAGATTTTAAGTAAAATTCAGATTCGTGGTGTTACAAAAATATTAACACAAAATGAAAATATATCTTCAAAGTAAATAACAGAATGACTAAACTTTCGGCGTTAACATTACAAATAATTACAAGAGAGAAAAAAACGCATTAAGAACTTAAGAGGCATGTTTGTAATATCGAGTTGTTGAAGGCTGCTTTGAAGACTGTTTGTTTCTATGAAAAACAATTGCTGTTATCGGATATTTTGGTAGATTTTGTTCCAAAAATACGAGATAACTAATTGTTTCTTGAACTAGTTTCCGTAACTTCTAAAATTTAAAAAGGATACGCCGTTCTGCTGTAATAAAATCTAGAATAAGGTCAAAATCACACTAATATTACATCTGATTTTGTTAACCACATGAATATAATTTACATTAAAATAAGTTACAGACATTGTTTGAAATGTTTATTATAGTTCGAAAACAAGATAAAATAAATAAATAAATAAATAAATAAATAAATAAAATGTGCAGTTTATTCACTTCAGAATTTTAGTATAAAAATAATTATGTTTGAAGCTTTATTTTGTCTGTTCGATTTTATTGGGTGTATTGGGCCCCTCTCGGGATATAACACCGATATCATTGCACTGACCCAACGTTCTTCAACCGATGGGATGATTTATTACTTCCGTTATGCTGGCCCTACACACAGCGATTTGGTTTTCGGATTTTCGGCTAGATCTGCACAGTTAACTCTTTGCGCACTGCACACTGACATAGAGTATTTTGTTCAGGCGAGCATCAAAAATATTACGCCGAAAGCACTTCTTCAAGTGTTATTTTTTTTGAGATGTCATATTTGTCAGCGTTTCCAAAATTTTGTTCTTTCCACAGGTCAACTAATTTTTCGTAAACCGCATTTTAAAATTTTTGTTATTGTATTTTTTACTTTTTAATTTTCTAAGGCATGAAAAAATCCCATATAGGTTTCTATGAATTTATTAACGAAATCAACTGATAACTTGCGCGCCATTTTGTGTTAATTAATACCAATAGTGATTATGATAATTTTATAATTATCATTTTAATGAAATTGTGTTCTTCACTTCGCGAACGACAGCAAACAATTTAAAATTACCGCTAGTCAAGCACCTGAAAATCCATCTCTCCCAAATATGTCTTTCTTGGCACGATTTGTAATCCGAAGTCTCCCTCCACATGCAATTTTTCATCGCCTGAGAACTTGTTTGATCTACAGACCAAAGCACACTCAGGCCAATATCGGCTTTAAGCGATTTATCTATAAACCGATATTCGTTAGAGTTGATCTGATACACATCCACTACGAAGAACTAACCCATTTCGACCATTGGACTTTACAACGAATAAGTGAACAAAGTTCTTGAACATCTTAACGATTTAATACATAATGTTCCCGAATGACAAAATTTATATTTCAAATTGTATTATCAAATTACACCCTCCAAAATTTGTCACGAACAATGAAATGACGCAATCTCCAAATTTTACAATAGTAAAGTTATAGTTTCGTCCCGTTTACGGTTTATGCATCCGTGTCGAGTTTTCACCTTGGACGTCAAGATTTTTGGAAAAAAAAATCAACATTTTCGAATTTATAATGTTATTTAAATTTTAAAAAGTAGAATAGTCCTGATCTTGTGATTTATACCTAAATACGCTATTGGGATTTTTCGGCTTGTCGATTTCTCGATTTTTCAACTTTAAATGTCTCAATTTTTCAATATTTCAATTTTGGGCTTTTCCGATTCCTCCATTCCTTAAATTTTCTATTTCTCGATTTTTTTATTTTTCGATTTTTCAATCTTACGATGTTTCAATGATACGATTTCTCAATTTCTGTCCTCTTCAATTTTACGGTTCTTAAATATTTCGATTTTTCAATTTTTCAAATTTTCACGTTTCTAAATTTTCAGTTTGCCGATTTCTAAAGTATTTTTTTTATTTGTCCATTTCTGGATTTCCTAAAGTTTCGATTTTTCACATCTTCAATTCCTCAATTTTTCGATTTTTTAAGATTACGATTTTTCAATTTTGCTTTTTTAGATTTTCGATTTCTCAATTTTCCAATTTTTTAATTTCTCAATTTTTTGAATATTTCTTTCAGTTATGAGATTTTTCAATATTTCAATTTTTCGACTTTTCAATTTTTGAATTGATGGATTTTTTTTGATTTCTCGCTTTTTTCCTTTTTGGATTTTCAATTTATTGTAAACTTTAGATTTTTCAATTCTGGGACTGTTTAATGCTTCGATTTCTCAATTTTTAAACTTTTCGATGTTTTAATATTTCATTTTTTAAAATTCTAGGTTTTTCGATATCTCGAGTTTTCAGTTCTTCTATATTTCAATTTTTCAATTTTTCGATTTTTTGAATTTTAATTTTTGATTTTCCAGTTTTTCTTTTTTAAAATTTTTCGATTATTCAATTTTTTAATTTCTCAATTTATCGAATTCAGATGTTTCGTTGTTTTGATTGTTCAATTTCTCAATTTTTCAATTTTTTACTTTCCTTTTCGGCTTCCGACTCCTCAATTTCTCGATCCTTCGATTTTTCGATTTCTCGAAGTCTCAGTTTTTGAATTTTTCGATGTTCTGAAATTTGGATTTCTCGGTTTTTCGATTTTTTTCTTTTGAGCTTTTCAATTTCTGGATTTTCCAATTTTTCAATGCCTCGATTTTTCAATTTTTCAAATTGAATTGGATTTGTCGATTCTTCAATTTTGCGATATTTTAATTATTCATTGTTTTAAATTTTAGTTTTTTCGATTTCTCGATTTTTTGACTTTTCAGTTCTTCAGTATTTGAATTTTTCAATTTTTCAAATTATTGCGTTAAATTTTCAGTTTTTTGATTTCTCAATTAATCTATTTTTGATTTTCCCATTTCTCAAAGTTTCGATTTTTCAGTTCTTTAATTCTTCGATTTTTCGACTTCGCTTTATTGGTTTGTCGATTTCTCAATTTTTGGATATTTCTTTCAGTTTTGATATTTTTCAATACTTCGATTCTTTCATTTTTCGACTTCTAGATTTTTCTATTTTTTATTTTTGGATTTTCAGTTTTTTGTTTTTTATTTCAATTTCTCAATTTTCCAACTTTTCCAAATTTTAATTTTTAAATTTCTAGATTTTTCGGTTTCTCGAGTTTCCAGTTCTATATTTTAATTTTTTAAATTTCCAAATTTTTAAATTTTTTGACATCTCAATTTATTGAGATACGGATGTTTCGATGTTTTGATTATTTAGTCTCTCGTTTTATCAATTTTTCCATATTTAAGTTCTCGATTTTTCGACTCCTCGATTTGTTGGTTTTTCGATTTTTTGCTTTTCGGTTTCTCGATTTTTCGATGTTTCGATTTTTGATTTATCCGATTTTTCAATTTTCCAATTTTTTAAAATCTCGACTTCTCGATTCGTTGATTTTTCAGTTTTTCGATTTTTAAATTTTAGAATTTTATTTCTTTTTGTATTTTTTGATGTTTGGATTTCTCCATTTTTCAGTTTTAGGATATTTTAACTTTTTGTTTAGGATGTTTTAAATTTTTGATTTTTCGATTTTTTAGTTCTTCAATATTTTTTTATTTTTCAAATTTTGACGTTTCTGAATTTTTAGTTTTCGGATTTCTCAATTAATCTATTTTTTTATATTCCCATTTCTCCACTTCCTAAAGTTTCGATTTTTCAGTTCTTCAGTTCTTCAATTTTTCGATTATTCAGGTTTTTGATTTTTCAATTTTTCGATTTTTTAAGTTTGCGATTTTTAGACTCTGCTTTTTTGTTTCTCAATTTTTTAATTTCCTATTTTTTTGATATTTCGTTCAATTTTGTGATTTTTCAGTTTTTCGATTTCTCAATTTTTTTCGATTTTTTGAGTTTTCAGTTCTCTATATTTCAATTTTTCAATTTTCGGAATTTTTAAATTTTCGATTGTCCAATTTTTTTTTATTTTTCGATTTTCCAATTTTTCGATGTTTCAATTTTTGAATTAACCGATTGTTCAATTTCTCGATTTTTAAATTTTAGATTTTCCAATTTTAATTTTTTTGATTTTTTTATGTTTCGATTTCTCGATTTTACAATTTTCCCATATTTGAATTTGTCAATGTTTTAAATTTTCGATTTCGAGGATTTACTGTGTTACAGTAGTCATCAGTCATTACTCATAAAGAACGATTATTGCTGTGCCTACATACTGGTAAGCACGTACATACAAGACACATTTAAGGCTGTTTTAAGTCTGCTAGATATAATTTTTGCAATTTTAAATTTATTTCTTGATGTCTAAATCGTATGTATTTAAATGGTGATGAATATTTTGTGGTACAATCTTAGGATAAAATGTATTTTGGTTTCAAAGATAATATGTATTTAATGATTTGACTACTGTTAATAAAAAAAATACGTAAGATGTTCATATTGAATTAATTTGGTGTTCATAGTTTGATGATAACCCATAGTTATTCTGGAGGCAAATTAGATGACTTGTTACTTATTAATTAAAGTAGTGGTCGTTTAATTTCGTACCTTTAAAGTGGACGAAGGGACGCATATTTGTTAGCCATGCAGTTCATGGATAATAGGTATACCGCGATAATATTAAATTTTTGTTACCTTAACCTTGAAACAGGTATGCACTACATATACATATATTACATATATGTAAAGTCTTCAACACGTACGTTTGCTTATTTTGTGACTGCTTCCCGTACAACGTACTGATTAATACGTCCGTTTACTATCTTATCGACATCACGTGTTTACGGACTATTTTTACCCCCTTTCGTAAGGTACCGCCACTTCATAGTGAAGCGAGTGAGATATAAAATATATATTCATTCTTTTCTACATGGGAAAGTGATTGTCCGTATAGGTTGTCCAACTATAATATACTTAAACAATGTTTGTACCTTAATTTGTCGTATTGGTTTCGTAGAAAATCCCTCTCGGCGATGAGTTCCTGGTGCGCGGGTCCAGGCGACGTTGAATTACTACTATGACTATCTACAAGGTCCATGTGGTCAGACGTATCAATCAGACTACCCTCAGTTTGATGGTGCTCTTCTTCAGGTTCCTGAGGTACAACTACCTCCTGAGTTACATACATCCGAAGATCGGACTGAATTAGAAAATTCGGAGGATTCTAATAATTAATCTTTAGTAGTAAAAAACCCCTCAAGACACTCAATACATACTTCTGGTAACGGCGGAATCGCTATTAAATCCTTAAAATACTGCAAATTACTCGTGTTTTGGTAAAACTGCTTCAAAAGTCTAAACTGTTTAAGAAATCTTTGCCTATGCCCCGCGAGAATATCCGGTGGAAGCGAAAAATGAAGCTTGAAAAGTATCTTGACGCAATAATCGTACAACTTGGAAGCGTCTTGAATACACGGGATTAAAGGCGCCAGACGGCATTGACCCGCACTGGTCATCGAATTCGACCGAGCCATATCGAGCGATCCAAACACAGCCTCTTGCAAATCGATGATATTATCCAAGTAGTCGAACATTTCCACGCTCATTTGGAAGCTGAAAGTGTCAGTCGAAATAGGAGCGAAGCGAGCAACCCACTTACAAGTTATTAATGTCGTTGCCGCCAATCGAGTCGAGTTCGTCCGGCGTCACACCCAAATGCCCCGGAAACCTCGGGTTTTTCCTATGAAAATCTAATTTCGTGATCAAGAGTGAGGTGTACAGTCGGATCATTTTGCCATAGCCGTCTTTCAAGTGCACCTACAATCCACATTTTATTCCACTGTGATACTTTTTTCCAAACGCACCCAAAGTTTTCCAATTTCGTCTAAATCTTTAATGTGGCGTTGGCTATGTACGAGACATAAGGGGTGTCCCTCACGTAATATTTTGTGCACGACATGACAGAATTTCCACGCCACTATTCGATCGTCCATTGCCGGTAGCCGGAGTGCGATGGCCCAGAAAGTAGTGGCGCCTTGAGTGTGGAATGTACCAATAATAGCTGAACGGACATGTTTTTGTTTGACCGGAGTTTCTTGACTATTAATCGCTTTAGACAAAGCTTGAGTCTGTAAAAAAGCATTCGTGTTTTCATATTTTTTAATCATCGTGGTCGGATTGTTGTACGCAAAACAATGTCGCTGTTTGGTACTTACGTATTTGTCGAGATCTCGCTCTGAATAAAGCTTAGCCATGTTTAAGTGTTAGCTGTGTAACTTCCGAAAGAAACATGCAATTTTTAAGGAAGGTTGAAAATCACGCCATGCAAATCTGAAATTAAATCTTAACAAGCTTATCGGTTATAAAAATATATCTGTCTATATCTACTCTGAGCAGATAAGAGATAGTGTCGAACACCACACCTGAATTTCCGGAGGTTCATTAGATACTTTTGTTAAAGAGCATGCAAAGTTCAAGCGCTTGGTGTTTACGGATTATCTAGATCTGAACACCAAGTCGTTATTAATCCCGAACGGCGATAGGACGCCACTATTTTCCCACTGAATCGCAGTATCAGACTACTCGAGAAATTTCAGATCTAAATGATCACGTAAAAATTAAGCAAGCAGACAACTTAGACAGAATATTCTTACCAAATGGAACTTACTTTAGTCGCTTTTGATTAATGGAACGAACTACCAAAGAATTATGAGAGCGAGGACTTAACTACATGATTTCTAAAGTGCAATGAAAGTGACGAGTGTGCCACCCACTTTTTTCTAGTTACTACAGAAGTAAATATTTGCCGCTTCGTAATTTTGGTGTTCTTACCCAATCACCGATGTTTCCGGTTTTTTGTTTATTTAAAGGAAATTGGCTAAAAGCAAACCGAATAGATTTGGCCGTTCATGAATTCTACTTCAGTGCGTTAAATTAAATTAGAGAAATCAAAGAAAACTATCGCGATTAAAAAATCTCTCTTTTAATAATTTCGCTGTGCTTGGTGCGATGACTACGTATTTATTTATTTGAGTTCTACTACGAAGAAACGATGCGTCACCTAATTCATGAAACAGCCTGTAGACGATTTGTAATAGTGTTTTTTAAATTTTAGCAACACTTCTCGCGAATAATCACGAAATGGGAAACCATGGGGGCACATTTTTAAAAAATATAGTAACAGTTGTGACAGATGTTAGGTGGGTGCTGTTTAACCTAAAAAGCAAGTTGAGGTTAAAAACACCACACCGTATCCGGTTAAATCTCGATAAGATAAATATTAATGATAATATAAACACTAGTATTAAAAATAGAAGCAAAATATGCACACATTCATTCCAAATTTTCCACACCACTTCACAAAATATTTAGGTTAGAAAACCCGTATTTCGTTTGTCGGAAAATATGTAACTTGTATTGCAAACGAGCGGCACAAAATTAGTGTGTGTTGTTCTTACCTGCGACTTTTCGAAGTTTTCACGTTCAATTTCTAAACTACTCTTCCTGGGGTATAAAACTCTAGGTAAAGATAACGAAGCCATACTACGCGAATATTTAACACAATATTGAATTTGTCACTGTAGCGTCAATTTTACCGACTTCACATTCATTCTGATAAATTATATGAGAGATTTATAAAACGATATACCTGAAACAGCAAACTTAGGACGTTAACGCCTTACACTTTCTACGTTGTTACCACTTCATTACCGTCATTTCCATTTGCCGTCATTCATCACAACATAACCTACGCGAGTGGTGCATTGCATCTACCGTGAAAAAACAGAAATTGGATTACACCTACAACTTGGATCAAAGGTGTTATGTTGGTTGCCTACGTTTTGTTTGAATTAAACATTTTGATTTATTTGAGCGTTTTTCTACTTTTGTTGCAGATTCCAGTTGCGTGTTCATGATTCTAAGTAAAATCTTTCTGCTTTTGTGTTTACACGTTACTTTTGGAAGATAAATAAAATTTTGTTAATTTTGGGCTAGCTTCGATTTTCGCGCTGGTGATGTTGACCCTAAACTATTTTATCACAACTTAGAAAAGTGATAAGGATTTTCTTAATTATTATTAAAATATATTTCTAGAATTACTTAAATCTTATCAGACAAAATAAATATTTGACAGGTTAATGAGAGTAATAGAGAGGTAATTGCGTCAAATATGGCAATAAAAAAACGAACAATTTAAATTATTTAAAATCATAAAAAATAAACTTTAAGATTATTACTAACTATTATTCAATCAAAGATATTACATACTTAATATGTACAAAATACAACACTGAAACATAATGGAAGAAATTTTGTACATTAGAAATTATCACTGCGAAGTAATTATATATTACACTTTACAAAGCTTTACAAATTTGGAAAGGCATCTTTTTCTTATCTGAATGCACAGAAGTATGTGATTCCAAAAACTGAGGATTGTGTTTATGTTAATTACTTTGTTTTATAATGTGTATTAGTTTTATTGCCGCAGAATGTATATTACCATCCTTTCAACGATTAAGACTTCTTATTTTTAAAAACTGGTGAGGCAATAAGAAATGAAGTTGCTCGTCTTGGTAAATTTTTAAATAAAAACAAAAAAAAAAGCGTTATTAGTGACGGTGATTTATTTCAGATATTGGTACTCGCTCTAGTCTGTACTTTTACCACCGGATTTTCGTGCAAAAAGTGGAATATACATTGTATTAATAATTTTGAATATCAACTGTGCTTCAAATTTGGACGACGTAGTGTGTTGGTTGGCGAAATCAAAACATGTCCCGCACGAACGATATGCGACGAGAATAATATTTTTCCGTGAGGTTTCCTAATTACGAGTTTATTATTAGTGAAAATCATTTTTTTAATTTTAGTTGTGTGAAAGTGTCGCCGTTGCGAATTCCTGCGATTCAGAGGGAAGTAAGCACTGTGGCCCCAGGTATTTTTAATGTTGTTTGATCGCTACAAATTACAAATTTATTGTTGGATATTGCAGTTACACCTCCCGCGTGTTCTGGTGCTAGCAAATCACCAGCGAGTCAGTGTAATCAATATTATCAGTGTATACCATTTTTATGGTGGTGGGAGCCCAATTTGCAAACTTGTCCATCGGGTTTAGCGTATGATCCGTCCATACAAGATTGTACTTCAGCTGAACTTTTGAACTGTGGGATAGCTACAACTACAATTGCCCCCACGACGCCAGTACCTGGTAAATTACTAGTAAATTACTATTAAATCAACTGATTCTTACATGGAAAGCAATGCATCAAAAAATTATAAATAATTATGGGTGCATGCTTTAACATAAAGACAAATGGAAGCTTTCAAGTATACAAATATTATTAATTATTATATTACTTAATTTCATACTAGTTACTGCGCCACCATGTAGTGGACCAAGTAAAGCCCCCGCGACGTATTGCAACCAGTATTATGAATGCCAACAGACGTTGTGGTGGTGGGCCCCCGTTTTAAAAACTTGTCCGGATGGACAAGCATTTAACGTGGCAATCAGTGATTGCGCACCAGCAACTTCAGCAACGTGCAATTTAATACCAGCGACAACAGTTGTTACATCAAGCCAAACAACAACTATCACGACGGTTCTTACGTCGATTACCGCTGCTCCAACTACAACTACAAATGAACAAATATCCACTACGACTGAGTCAATGAGAAGTACAACCGAACAGGTCGAAACAGAATCCACCACATCTGAATATTTCACAACAACAACAAAACTCGAAACAACAACGGCCACCTCGCCAGATACTACAACGGCTGAAACTTCCACAACAACATCGCTCGAAACAACAACGGCCACATTGCCAGATACCACAACAGCTGAACCTTCTACAACAACAACATTTGAGACGACAACGGCCACACTGCCAGATACCACAACAACAACGCTCGAAACAACAACGGCCACGTCGTCAGATACGACCACAGCGGAACCGTCTACAATAACAACACTCGATACGACAACGGTCACATCGCCAGATACCACAACAACTGAACCTTTCACAACAACGACACTCAAGTCGACCACAGTCACGTTGATAGGTACAAATACACCTGAACTTCCTACAACAACAACAACACTCGATACGACAACGGTCACATCGCCAGATATCACAACAACTGAACCTTTCACAACAACGACACTCAAGTCGACCACAGTCACGTTGATAGGTACAAATACACCTGAACCTCCTACAACAACAACAACACTAGATACGACAACGGTCACATCGCCAGATACCACAACAACTGAACCTTTCACAACAACGACACTCAAGTCGACCACAGTCACGTTGATAGGTACAAATACACCTGAACCTCCTACAACAACAACAACACTAGATAACACAACGGTCACATCGCCAGATACCACAACAACTGAACCTTTCACAACAACGACACTCAAGTCGACCACAGTCACGTTGATAGGTACAAATACACCTGAACCTCCTACAACAACAACAACACTAGATACGACAACGGTCACATCGCCAGATACCACAACAACTGAACCTTTCACAACAACGACACTCAAGTCGACCACAGTCACGTTGATAGGTACAAATACACCTGAACCTCCTACAACAACAACAACACTAGATACGACAACGGTTACATCGCCAGATACCACAACAACTGAACCTTTCACAACAACGACACTCAAGTCGACCACAGTCACGTTGATAGGTACAAATACACCTGAACCTCCTACAACAACAACAACACTAGAAACGACAACGGTCACATCGCCAGATACCACAACAACTGAACCTTCCACAACAACGACACTCAAGTCGACCACAGTCACGCTGATAGATACAAATACACCTGAACCTCCTACAACAACAACAACACTCGATACGACAACGGCCACATCGCCAGATACTACAACGGCTGAACCTTCCACATCAACAACGATCGAAACGACTACGTTCACGTCACCAGAAACGACCACAGCTGAACATTATGCAACAACAACATTCGAGACGACAACGGTCTCATCGCCAGATACCACAACAACTGAACTTTCCACAACTACAACGCTCGAAACAACAACGACCTCCTTGCCAGATACCACAACAGCTGAACCTTCCACAATAACAACACTCGAGACGACAACAGCTACATCGCCAGATACCACAACAACTGAATCTTCCACAACAACAACGCTCGAAACAACAACGGCCACGTCACCAGATACTACCACAGCTGAACTGTCTACAACAACAACACTCGAAACGACAACACCCACATCGCCAGATACCACAACAACTGAACCTACCACAACAACAACGCTCGAAACGACAACGGCCACGTCGCCAGAAACGACCACAGCTGAACCGTCTACAACAACAACGCTCGAAACGACAACGGCCACGTCACCAGATACGACCACAACTGAACCTTCCACAACAACAACGCTCGAAACGACAACGGCCACGTCACCAGATACGACCACAACTGAACTTTCCACAACAACAACGCTCGAGACGACAACACCCACATCGCCAGATACCACAACAACTGAACCTACCACAACAACAACGCTCGAAACGACAACGGCCACGTCACCAGATACTACCACAGCTGAACTGTCTACAACAACAACACTCGAAACGACAACACCCACATCGCCAGATACCACAACAACTGAACCTACCACAACAACAACGCTCGAAACGACAACGGCCACGTCACCAGATACTACCACAGCTGAACTGTCTACAACAACAACACTCGAAACGACAACACCCACATCGCCAGATACCACAACAACTGAACCTACCACAACAACAACGCTCGAAACGACAACGGCCACGTCGCCAGAAACGACCACAGCTGAACCGTCTACAACAACAACACTCGAAACGACAACGGCCACGTCACCAGAAACGACCACAGCTGAACCGTCTACAACAACAACGCTCGAAACGACAACGGCCACGTCACCAGATACGACCACAACTGAACCTTCCACAACAACAACGCTCGAAACGACAACGGCCACGTCGCCAGAAACGACCACAGCTGAACCGTCTACAACAACAACACTCGAAACGACAACGGCCACGTCACCAGAAACGACCACAGCTGAACCGTCTACAACAACAACGCTAGAAACGACAACGGCCACGTCACAAGAAACGACCACAGCTGAACCGTCTACAACAACAACACTCGAAACGACAACGCCCACGTCAACAGAAACGACCACAGCTGAACCGTCTACAACAACAACACTCGAAACGACAACGGCCACGTCACCAGATACGACCACAGTTGAACCTTCCACATCAACAACGCTCGAAACGACAACGGCCACGTCACCAGATACGACCACAACTGAACCATCTACAACAACAACACTCGAAACGACAACGGCCACGTCACCAGATACGACCACAACTGAACCTTCCACAACAACAACGCTCGAAACGACAACGGCCACGTCACCAGATACGACCACAGCTGAACCGTCAACAACAACAACACTCGAAACGACAACGGCCACGTCACCAGATACTACCACAGCTGAACCTACCACAACTACAACACTCGAAACGACAACGGCCACGTCACCAGATACGACCACAACTGAACCTTCCACATCAACAACGCTCGAAACGACAACGGCCACGTCACCAGAAACGACCACAACTGAACCATCTACAACAACAACACTCGAAACGACAACGGCCACGTCACCAGATACGACCACAACTGAACCTTCCACAACAACAACGCTCGAAACGACAACGGCCACGTCACCAGATACTACCACAGCTGAACCTACCACAACTACAACACTCGAAACGACAACGGCCACGTCACCAGATACGACCACAACTGAACCTTCCACATCAACAACGCTCGAAACGACAACGGCCACGTCACCAGATACGACCACAACTGAACCATCTACAACAACAACACTCGAAACGTCAACTGCCACGTCACCAGAAACGACCACAGCTGAACCGTCTACAACAACAACACTCGAAACGACAACACCCACATCGCCAGATACCACAACAACTGAACCAACCACAACAACAACGCTCGAAACGACAACACCCACATCGCCAGATACCACAACAACTGAACCTACCACAACAACAACGCTCGAAACGACAACGGCCACGTCGCCAGAAACGACCACAGCTGAACCGTCTACAACAACAACACTCGAAACGACAACGGCCACGTCACCAGAAACGACCACAGCTGAACCGTCTACAACAACAACGCTCGAAACGACAACGGCCACGTCACCAGATACGACCACAACTGAACCTTCCACAACAACAACGCTCGAAACGACAACGGCCACGTCGCCAGAAACGACCACAGCTGAACCGTCTACAACAACAACACTCGAAACGACAACGGCCACGTCACCAGAAACGACCACAGCTGAACCGTCTACAACAACAACGCTAGAAACGACAACGGCCACGTCACAAGAAACGACCACAGCTGAACCGTCTACAACAACAACACTCGAAACGACAACGCCCACGTCAACAGAAACGACCACAGCTGAACCGTCTACAACAACAACACTCGAAACGACAACGGCCACGTCACCAGATACGACCACAGTTGAACCTTCCACATCAACAACGCTCGAAACGACAACGGCCACGTCACCAGATACGACCACAACTGAACCATCTACAACAACAACACTCGAAACGACAACGGCCACGTCACCAGATACGACCACAACTGAACCTTCCACAACAACAACGCTCGAAACGACAACGGCCACGTCACCAGATACGACCACAGCTGAACCGTCAACAACAACAACACTCGAAACGACAACGGCCACGTCACCAGATACTACCACAGCTGAACCTACCACAACTACAACACTCGAAACGACAACGGCCACGTCACCAGATACGACCACAACTGAACCTTCCACATCAACAACGCTCGAAACGACAACGGCCACGTCACCAGAAACGACCACAACTGAACCATCTACAACAACAACACTCGAAACGACAACGGCCACGTCACCAGATACGACCACAACTGAACCTTCCACAACAACAACGCTCGAAACGACAACGGCCACGTCACCAGATACTACCACAGCTGAACCTACCACAACTACAACACTCGAAACGACAACGGCCACGTCACCAGATACGACCACAACTGAACCTTCCACATCAACAACGCTCGAAACGACAACGGCCACGTCACCAGATACGACCACAACTGAACCATCTACAACAACAACACTCGAAACGTCAACTGCCACGTCACCAGAAACGACCACAGCTGAACCGTCTACAACAACAACACTCGAAACGACAACACCCACATCGCCAGATACCACAACAACTGAACCAACCACAACAACAACGCTCGAAACGACAACACCCACATCGCCAGATACCACAACAACTGAACCTACCACAACAACAACGCTCGAAACGACAACGGCCACGTCGCCAGAAACGACCACAGCTGAACCGTCTACAACAACAACACTCGAAACGACAACGGCCACGTCACCAGAAACGACCACAGCTGAACCGTCTACAACAACAACGCTAGAAACGACAACGGCCACGTCACAAGAAACGACCACAGCTGAACCGTCTACAACAACAACACTCGAAACGACAACACCCACATCGCCAGATACCACAACAACTGAACCTACCACAACAACAACGCTCGAAACGACAACGGCCACGTCGCCAGAAACGACCACAGCTGAACCGTCTACAACAACAACACTCGAAACGACAACGGCCACGTCACCAGAAACGACCACAGCTGAACCGTCTACAACAACAACGCTCGAAACGACAACGGCCACGTCACCAGATACGACCACAACTGAACTTTCCACAACAACAACGCTCGAAACGACAACGGCCACGTCGCCAGAAACGACCACAGCTGAACCGTCTACAACAACAACACTCGAAACGACAACGGCCACGTCACCAGAAACGACCACAGCTGAACCGTCTACAACAACAACGCTAGAAACGACAACGGCCACGTCACAAGAAACGACCACAGCTGAACCGTCTACAACAACAACACTCGAAACGACAACACCCACATCGCCAGATACCACAACAACTGAACCTACCACAACAACAACGCTCGAAACGACAACGGCCACGTCGCCAGAAACGACCACAGCTGAACCGTCTACAACAACAACACTCGAAACGACAACGGCCACGTCACCAGAAACGACCACAGCTGAACCGTCTACAACAACAACGCTCGAAACGACAACGGCCACGTCACCAGATACGACCACAACTGAACCTTCCACAACAACAACGCTCGAAACGACAACGGCCACGTCGCCAGAAACGACCACAGCTGAACCGTCTACAACAACAACACTCGAAACGACAACGGCCACGTCACCAGAAACGACCACAGCTGAACCGTCTACAACAACAACGCTAGAAACGACAACGGCCACGTCACAAGAAACGACCACAGCTGAACCGTCTACAACAACAACACTCGAAACGACAACGGCCACGTCACCAGAAACGACCACAGCTGAACCGTCTACAACAACAACGCTAGAAACGACAACGGCCACGTCACAAGAAACGACCACAGCTGAACCGTCTACAACAACAACACTCGAAACGACAACGCCCACGTCAACAGAAACGACCACAGCTGAACCGTCTACAACAACAACACTCGAAACGACAACGGCCACGTCACCAGATACGACCACAGTTGAACCTTCCACATCAACAACGCTCGAAACGACAACGGCCACGTCACCAGATACGACCACAACTGAACCATCTACAACAACAACACTCGAAACGACAACGGCCACGTCACCAGATACGACCACAACTGAACCTTCCACAACAACAACGCTCGAAACGACAACGGCCACGTCACCAGATACGACCACAGCTGAACCGTCAACAACAACAACACTCGAAACGACAACGGCCACGTCACCAGATACTACCACAGCTGAACCTACCACAACTACAACACTCGAAACGACAACGGCCACGTCACCAGATACGACCACAACTGAACCTTCCACATCAACAACGCTCGAAACGACAACGGCCACGTCACCAGAAACGACCACAACTGAACCATCTACAACAACAACACTCGAAACGACAACGGCCACGTCACCAGATACGACCACAACTGAACCTTCCACAACAACAACGCTCGAAACGACAACGGCCACGTCACCAGATACTACCACAGCTGAACCTACCACAACTACAACACTCGAAACGACAACGGCCACGTCACCAGATACGACCACAACTGAACCTTCCACATCAACAACGCTCGAAACGACAACGGCCACGTCACCAGATACGACCACAACTGAACCATCTACAACAACAACACTCGAAACGTCAACTGCCACGTCACCAGAAACGACCACAGCTGAACCGTCTACAACAACAACACTCGAAACGACAACACCCACATCGCCAGATACCACAACAACTGAACCAACCACAACAACAACGCTCGAAACGACAACACCCACATCGCCAGATACCACAACAACTGAACCTACCACAACAACAACGCTCGAAACGACAACGGCCACGTCGCCAGAAACGACCACAGCTGAACCGTCTACAACAACAACACTCGAAACGACAACGGCCACGTCACCAGAAACGACCACAGCTGAACCGTCTACAACAACAACGCTAGAAACGACAACGGCCACGTCACAAGAAACGACCACAGCTGAACCGTCTACAACAACAACACTCGAAACGACAACACCCACATCGCCAGATACCACAACAACTGAACCTACCACAACAACAACGCTCGAAACGACAACGGCCACGTCGCCAGAAACGACCACAGCTGAACCGTCTACAACAACAACACTCGAAACGACAACGGCCACGTCACCAGAAACGACCACAGCTGAACCGTCTACAACAACAACGCTCGAAACGACAACGGCCACGTCACCAGATACGACCACAACTGAACTTTCCACAACAACAACGCTCGAAACGACAACGGCCACGTCGCCAGAAACGACCACAGCTGAACCGTCTACAACAACAACACTCGAAACGACAACGGCCACGTCACCAGAAACGACCACAGCTGAACCGTCTACAACAACAACGCTAGAAACGACAACGGCCACGTCACAAGAAACGACCACAGCTGAACCGTCTACAACAACAACACTCGAAACGACAACACCCACATCGCCAGATACCACAACAACTGAACCTACCACAACAACAACGCTCGAAACGACAACGGCCACGTCGCCAGAAACGACCACAGCTGAACCGTCTACAACAACAACACTCGAAACGACAACGGCCACGTCACCAGAAACGACCACAGCTGAACCGTCTACAACAACAACGCTCGAAACGACAACGGCCACGTCACCAGATACGACCACAACTGAACCTTCCACAACAACAACGCTCGAAACGACAACGGCCACGTCGCCAGAAACGACCACAGCTGAACCGTCTACAACAACAACACTCGAAACGACAACGGCCACGTCACCAGAAACGACCACAGCTGAACCGTCTACAACAACAACGCTAGAAACGACAACGGCCACGTCACAAGAAACGACCACAGCTGAACCGTCTACAACAACAACACTCGAAACGACAACGGCCACGTCACCAGAAACGACCACAGCTGAACCGTCTACAACAACAACACTCGAAACGACAACGGCCACGTCACCAGATACGACCACAGTTGAACCTTCCACATCAACAACGCTCGAAACGACAACGGCCACGTCACCAGATACGACCACAACTGAACCATCTACAACAACAACACTCGAAACGACAACGGCCACGTCACCAGATACGACCACAACTGAACCTTCCACAACAACAACGCTCGAAACGACAACGGCCACGTCACCAGATACGACCACAGCTGAACCGTCAACAACAACAACACTCGAAACGACAACGGCCACGTCACCAGAAACGACCACAGCTGAACCGTCTACAACAACAACGCTCGAAACGACAACGGCCACGTCACCAGATACGACCACAGCTGAACCGTCAACAACAACAACACTCGAAACCACAACGGCCACGTCACCAGATACTACCACAGCTGAACCTACCACAACTACAACACTCGAAACGACAACGGCCACGTCACCAGATACGACCACAGCTGACCTGTCTACAACAACAACGCTCGAAACGACAACACCCACATCGCCAGATACCACAACAACTGAACCTCCCACAACAACAACGCTCGAAACGACAACGGCCACGTCACCAGAAACGACCACAGCTGAACCGTCTACAACAACAACGCTAGAAACGACAACGGCCACGTCACAAGAAACGACCACAGCTGAACCGTCTACAACAACAACACTCGAAACGACAACGGCCACGTCACCAGAAACGACCACAGCTGAACCGTCTACAACAACAACACTCGAAACGTCAACTGCCACGTCACAAAAAACGACCACAGCTGAACCGTCTACAACAACAACACTCGAAACGACAACGGCCACGTCACCAGAAACGACCACAGCTGAACCGTCTACAACAACAACACTCGAAACGACAACGGCCACGTCACCAGATACTACCACAGCTGAACCTACCACAACTACAACACTCGAAACGACAACGGCCACGTCACCAGATACGACCACAGCTGAACTGTCTACAACAACAACGCTCGAAACGACAACACCTACATCGCCAGATACCACAACAACTGAACCTCCCACAACAACAACGCTCGAAACGACAACGGCCACGTCACCAGAAACGACCACAGCTGAACCGTCTACAACAACAACACTCGAAACGACAACGGCCACGTCATCAGATACGACCACAACTGAACCTTCCACATCAACAACGCTCGAAACGACAACGGCCACCTCACCAGATACGACCACAACTGAACCATCTACAACAACAACACTCGAAACGACAACGGCCACGTCACCAGATACGACCACAACTGAACCTTCCACATCAACAACGCTCGAAACGACAACGGCCACGTCACCAGATACGACCACAACTGAACTGTCTACAACAACAACGCTCGAAACGACAACACCCACATCGCCAGATACCACAACAACTGAACCTCCCACAACAACAACGCTCGAAACGACAACGGCCACGTCACCAGAAACGACCACAGCTGAACCGTCTACAACAACAACGCTCGAAACGACAACGGCCACGTCACCAGATACTACCACAGCTGAACCTACCACAACTACAACACTCGAAACGACAACGGCCACGTCACCAGATACGACCACAGCTGACCTGTCTACAACAACAACGCTCGAAACGACAACACCTACATCGCCAGATACCACAACAACTGAACCTCCCACAACAACAACGCTCGAAACGACAACGGCCACGTCACCAGAAACGACCACAGCTGAACCGTCTACAACAACAACGCTAGAAACGACAACGGCCACGTCACAAGAAACGACCACAGCTGAACCGTCTACAACAACAACACTCGAAACGACAACGGCCACGTCACCAGATACGACCACAACTGAACTTTCCACAACAACAACGCTCGAGACGACAACACCCACATCGCCAGATACCACAACAACTGAAGCTACCACAACAACAACGCTCGAAACGACAACGGCCACGTCACCAGAAACGACCAGAGCTGAGCCGTCTACAACAACAACACTCGAAACGACAACGGCCACGTCAAAAGAAACGACCACAGCTGAACCGTCTACAACAACAACGCTAGAAACGACAACAGCTGAACCGTCTACAACAACAACACTCGAAACGACAACGGCCACGTCACCAGAAACGACCACAGCTGAAGCGTCTACAACAACAACGCTAGAAACGACAACGGCCACGTCACAAGAAACGACCACAGCTGAACCGTCTACAACAACAACACTCGAAACGACAACGGCCACGTCACCAGAAACGACCACAGCTGAACCGTCTACAACAACAACGCTAGAAACGACAACGGCCACGTCACAAGAAACGACCACAGCTGAACCGTCTACAACAACAACACTCGAAACGACAACACCCACATCGCCAGATACCACAACAACTGAACCTACCACAACAACAACGCTCGAAACGACAACGGCCACGTCGCCAGAAACGACCACAGCTGAACTGTCTACAACAACAACACTCGAAACGACAACACCCACATCGCCAGATACCACAACAACTGAACCCACCACAACGACAACGCTCGAAACGACAACGGCCACGTCACCAGATACTACCACAGCTGAACTGTCTACAACAACAACACTCGAAACGACAACACCCACATCGCCAGATACCACAACAACTGAACCTACCACAACAACAACGCTCGAAACGACAACGGCCACGTCGCCAGAAACGACCACAGCTGAACTGTCTACAACAACAACACTCGAAACGACAACACCCACATCGCCAGATACCACAACAACTGAACCCACCACAACGACAACGCTCGAAACGACAACGGCCACGTCACCAGATACTACCACAGCTGAACTGTCTACAACAACAACACTCGAAACGACAACGGCCACGTCAAAAGAAACGACCACAGCTGAACCGTCTACAACAACAACGCTAGAAACGACAACAGCTGAACCGTCCACAACAACAACACTCGAAACGACAACGGCCACGTCACCAGAAACGACCACAGCTGAAGCGTCTACAACAACAACGCTAGAAACGACAACGGCCACGTCACAAGAAACGACCACAGCTGAACCGTCTACAACAACAACACTCGAAACGACAACGGCCACGTCACCAGAAACGACCACAGCTGAACCGTCTACAACAACAACGCTAGAAACGACAACGGCCACGTCACAAGAAACGACCACAGCTGAACCGTCTACAACAACAACACTCGAAACGACAACACCCACATCGCCAGATACCACAACAACTGAACCTACCACAACAACAACGCTCGAAACGACAACGGCCACGTCGCCAGAAACGACCACAGCTGAACTGTCTACAACAACAACACTCGAAACGACAACACCCACATCGCCAGATACCACAACAACTGAACCCACCACAACGACAACGCTCGAAACGACAACGGCCACGTCACCAGATACTACCACAGCTGAACTGTCTACAACAACAACACTCGAAACGACAACACCCACATCGCCAGATACCACAACAACTGAACCTACCACAACAACAACGCTCGAAACGACAACACCCACATCGCCAGATACCACAACAACTGAACCTCCCACAACAACAACGCTCGAAACGACAACGGCCACGTTACCAGATACGACTACAACTGAACCTTCCACAACAACAACGCTCGAGACGACAACACCCACATCGCCATATACTACAACAACTGAAGCTACCACAACAACAACGCTCGAAACGACAACGGCCACGTCACCAGATACGACCACAGCTGAACCGTCTACAACAACAACACTCGAAACGACAACGGCCACGTCACCAGAAGCGACCACAGCTGAAACGTCTACAACAACAACACTCGAAACGACAACGGCCACGTCACCAGATACGACCACAGCTGAACCGTCCACAACAACAACACTCGAAACGACAACGGCCACGTCACCAGATACGACCACAACTGAACCTTCCACAACAACAACGCTCGAAACGACAACGGCCACGTCACCAGATACGACCACAGCTGAACCATCTACAACAACAACACTCGAAACAACAACGGCTACGTCACCAGATACGACCACAACTGAACCGTCTACAACAACAACACTCGAAACGACAACGGCCACGTCACCAGATACGACCACAACTGAACCTTCCACAACAACAACGCTCGAGACGACAACACCCACATCGCCAGATACAACAACTGAAGCTACCACAACAACAACGCTCGAAACGACAACGGTCACGTCACCAGATACGACCACAACTGAACCTTCCACAACAACAACGCTCGAAACAACAACGGCTACGTCACCAGATACGACCACAGCTGAACCGTCTACAACAACATCGCTCGAGACGACAACACCCACATCGCCAGATACCACAACAACTGAAGCCACCACAACAACAACGCTCGAAACGACAACGGCCACGTCACCAGATACGACCACAACTGAACCTTCCATAACAACAACGCTCGAAACAACAACGGCTACGTCACCAGATACGACCACAGCTGAACCGTCTACAACAACAACGCTCGAAACAACAACGGTCACGTCACCAGATACGACCACAGCTGAACCGTCTACAACAACAACACTCGAAACGACAACGGCCACGTCACCAGATACGACCACAACTGAACCTTCCACAACAACAACGCTCGAGACGACAACACCCACATCGCCAGATACAACAACTGAAGCTACCACAACAACAACGCTCGAAACGACAACGGCCACGTCACCAGATACGACCACAGCTGAACCATCTACAACAACAACACTCGAAACAACAACGGCTACGTCACCAGATACGACCACAACTGAACCGTCTACAACAACAACACTCGAAACGACAACGGCCACGTCACCAGATACGACTACAACTGAGCCTTCCACAACAACAACGCTCGAGACGACAACACCCACATCGCCAGATACCACAACAACTGAAGCTATCACAACAACAACGCTCGAAACGACAACGGCCACGTCACCAGAAACGACCACAACTGAACCTTCCACAACAACAACGCTCGAAACAACAACGGCCACGTCACCAGATACGACCACAGCTGAACCGTCTACAACAACAACACTCGAAGCGACAACGACCACGTCACCAGAAACGACCACAGCTGAACCGTCTACAACAACATCGCTCGAGACGACAACACCCACATCGGCAGATACCACAACAACTGAAGCCACCACAACAACAACGCTCGAAACGACAACGGCCACGTCACCAGATACGACCACAACTGAACCTTCCATAACAACAACGCTCGAAACAACAACGGCTACGTCACCAGATACGACCACAGCTGAACCGTCTACAACAACAACGCTCGAAACAACAACGGTCACGTCACCAGATACGACCACAGCTGAACCGTCTACAACAACAACGCTCGAAACAACAACGGTCACGTCACCAGATACGACCACAGCTGAACCGTCTACAACAACAACACTCGAAACGACAACGGCCACGTCACCAGATACGACCACAGCTGAACCGTCTACAACAACAACACTCGAAACGACAACGGTCACGTCACCAGATACGACCACAACTGAACCTTCCACAACAACAACGCTCGAAACGACAACGGCCACGTCACCAGATACGACCACAGCTGAACCGTCTACAACAACATCGCTCGAGACGACAACACCCACATCGCCAGATACCACAACAACTGAAGCCACCACAACAACAACGCTCGAAACGACAACGGCCACGTCACCAGATACGACCACAACTGAACCTTCCATAACAACAACGCTCGAAACAACAACGGCTACGTCACCAGATACGACCACAGCTGAACCGTCTACAACAACAACGCTCGAAACAACAACGGTCACGTCACCAGATACGACCACAACTGAACCTTCCACAACAACAACGCTCGAAACGGCAACGGCCACGTCACCAGATACGACCACAACTGAACCTTCCACAACAACAACGCTCGAGACGACAACACCCACATCGCCAGATACAACAACTGAAGCTACCACAACAACAACGCTCGAAACGACAACGGCCACGTCACCAGAAACGACCACAGCTGAACCGTCTACAACAACAACACTCGAAACGACAACGGTCACGTCACCAGATACGACCACAGCTGAACCGTCTACAACAACAACACTCGAAACGACAACGGTCACGTCACCAGATACGACCACAACTGAACCTTCCACAACAACAACGCTCGAAACGACAACGGCCACGTCACCAGAAGCGACCACAGCTGAACCGTCTACCACAACAACACTCGAGACGACAACGACCACGTTGCCAGATACCACGACAACTGAACCTTCCACAACAACATCACTTGAGACAACAACCGCCACGTCTCTTTACACCACCACAGCTGAACCTTCCACAACAACAACAACGCTCGAGACGACAACGACCTCTTCACCAGAAACAACCACAACTGAACGATTAACAACAACAACAACAAAAACAACAACAACAAAACCGACGACCACCACAACTAAACCGACCACTACGACAACCACTAGCACCACAACAACTACTGCAGCACCAGGTATTTACTTTTTCGTCATTTTAAAATTAGTTCATTGTTCAAAACGTACGTGGCCACTCCTGTTTCATCAAAAGAGGCTCAGTAACATGCTATTCAGAGCTGATGGGAAGCTCCATTCCGCTCGAAAATCTTAAACTGATTTTAAACTTAACATTTCCCATTTTATAGTTACGCCACCCGCTTGCAGCAGTGCTGGCAAATATCCAGGACCAACCTGCAATCAATATTACGAATGTGTACAAGTTTTGTGGTGGTTCAGTCCGCAACTAAAAACGTGCCCTGACGGTCAAGCCTTTGACCGCACTAGTGCGAGCTGCGTCGCTGCAAGTCTTGTTGGTTGCGGCACGACCACTACAACCAAACCAACCACAACTACAACTACAACGACCACCACCAAACCAACCACAACCACAACTACAACTACAACTACCACGACCAAACCAACCACCACAACCACTCGTTCCACGACAACAACAACAGTCGCACCCAGTATGTTATAATATTAATCGATTTTCAGATATCTTTCTCAACAATATACCCATTTATTTCAGTAACCTCACCCACATGTACCGGATCCGCTACATACCCAACTTCTAACTGCACACAATATTACCAGTGCATACCAGTCCTGTGGTGGTGGGACTATCAAGTGCAAACTTGTCCGAGTGGGCAAGCATATGACTCCAGCACTGGCGGATGTTCAGTGGCCGCATGGAACAAATGCTTTATACCTTCAACCACTACGAAGAAACCAACAACAACAACAACAACAACCAAAAAACCGACAACAACAACAACAACCAAAAAACCGACAACAACAACAACAACCACTACTACTACAACGACAAAACCAACAACTACAACAACTCCTACTACGACTACCACGACGAAAAAACCAACTACTACCACAACAACAACTCCAGCGCCAGGTATTTTGCACCGAATTTTCTAATTTTCAGCTGTAATTACTCATTATTGTAGTTACACCACCTACGTGTATACAATCTGGGAAATACCCGGCGCCATCTTGTAACCAGTATTACGACTGCGTGTACGTCATGTGGTGGTGGGAGGCACAACTTACAGATTGCCCATATGGGCAAGCATTTGACCTTAGCATCAACGATTGTTCAACCGCGGCTGGTAGTACGTGCCCAGCCGCTTCTGCAACGACTTTAACAAAACCACCAACTACGACCACAACAACAACAACAACGAAACGTCCCACTACAACAACAACTACAACAACTAAGAGACCAACGACGACGACTACAACAACAACGACAACAACAGCAGCTCCAGGTATTAAATCTAGCTTTCTCATTCACAACATTTGCTACTGAGATTTCTGATTTTAGTTACGCCACCAACGTGTATTCAGACTGGTAATTATCCTGCTTCTGCTTGCAACCAGTACTACCAATGCGTCTACGTCATGTGGTACTGGGAGGCACAGCTCCAAACTTGTCCTTCTGGGCAAGGGTTTGACAAAAATAGCAAGCAGTGTACTACAGCGGCCAACTGTACTTAAAATATGGAAACTGAAACTACAGAATAAATCTAATATATTTTTTTATCACCAACGTGAATCTATATTTATATCAATTTTTCGATAGGGCGATTTAAAAAAAAAATTGTGTTTTGAGGACACCGAGAATCCTTCTGGGACAAAGGTGCTTTATCAAGCTGAATAACGAATTGTTACGAAATTCCAGTTTGTAAATTGAATGTTTTTTATAAATTAATAAATGAAGATTTGTGTTATCGTTATTTATTTGGGGTTATCATTTCTGTGTTGATAATATGACTGTTAACAACTCGCAATTTCTAAAATAAATTAATATTTTTACATTTCATAGTAAGTTCAGTTCTTGCATAAATCGTAAGTCCGATTAAAATTTAAGATGATTTTCTTATACATGGGCTGTTTGCTGCTACTTTTGTACTATTTGTGTACAAAAAACCACAACTACTGGGAGTCCAGGGGAGTTCCGTTTGAAAAACCGGTTTTCTTCGTGGGAAATTTTTACAAAATCCTGGCCGGGAAACAACACATTTCGTATCGAATGCGCGAAATTTACAACAGTTTTAACACTCCCTACATCGGAATTTACATTTTCCACCAGCCGAACCTCGTAATCAAGAGTCCAGACTTAGTGAAGAAAATTTTGGTCAAAGATTTCGACAAATTCATCAACCGCAGAGTTGCTACAAATGAAGCTGTTGATCCCATCGCAACCCACACTCTTTTCAGTGCCCAAGACCAAGTGTGGAAAAACCTCCGTGCCAAAATTTCCCCAGTTTTCACGTCCGGAAAAATGAAACTGATGTTTCCTTTAATGAAGGAATGTGGATCAGACTTGGTTGAATATTTGGATAAACGAAACGGAGAAGTAGTGGAGGTTAGAAACATGACGAAAAAGTTTGCTGTTGACATTATATCGTCGTGCGCTTTCGGGATTAACGCTTACTGTCTTAAGGAAGAGAGTTCTGAAATAATGAAAGTCACCACGAAATTGATGGACTTAAAATCGTTCGTTAGAACCTTCTCAATATTTAGTTATTTCTTTGCGCCTATGTTTGTTGACATTTTTAGACTTACTTTTGTGGATAAAACCTCTTCGAATTACTTGGTCAAAATTTTTAACACCACGATTAAAGAACGCCAGAAGCAAAATATTGTGCGACACGACTTAATCGATTTGCTTAATAATCTGAAGCAGAAGGAGACTTTTAATGACAGTTACAAATTCGGTACTGGTTCACAAAATGGTTGCTTTGTATAATCGGGTTGTTTTCAGACGATATCAAAATGGCCGCTCAAGCTGTCGCGTTTTTTTCAGCAGGAAACGACACGACGTCTCTAGCAATATCATTCGTTTTATACGAGTTAGCTTTACATCCGGAGATTCAAACCCGACTTAGAAAAGAAATCACCGACATTTTTCAAAAATATGGCGACTTTACTTATGAAGCTATCAACGAAATGAAGTATTTGGACATGGTGTTAAATGGTAGACTAGTACTATGTGTACCAATGATAGCGATAAATGTTTGACTTTCAGAAACTCTACGAATGTATCCGCTAACCAGCTTTCTGAACAGAAAATCTGCCACCAAATACACTTTTGAGGAAACCGGTTTTACTCTAGATGAAGACGTTTCTATTATCGTTCCAGTCGCTGGATTGCACTTTGATCCAGAATATTTTCCTGATCCGGAGAAGTTCGACCCTGAAAGATTTAGTGACGCTAATAAACATAAAATAGTACCATACACTTATTTGCCTTTCGGGGATGGCCCTAGAAATTGTATTGGTACGTTGGTACAAACAAATCAACATATTCATTAATTTTGAGGTTGTAGGTCAAAGATTTGGGATTCTTGCAAGCAAAGTCGCTTTGGCATTTAGTTTGAAAGATTTTGTTTTTGAAAAGGCTGCAGTTACATCAGTGCCGCTGCAGTTTGAAGCCCGTTCTTTGTTTATGACCAATAAGTCTGGTCTGCAGCTGAAAGCAGTTAGAATATGAGAAGATACTTGAAAATAAACTTTTACTTAAGATAAAACTCTAAAGTCTATCAGAGAGGCTCATATTGTACAAAAATATAGAGATTAGTAAATTAGTAGGTGTATATATTTTTTTAATAAAAGTGATATATAAGGTCGTTATTCAATTTGGATGCCTAGAGGGAAACTCAAGGCGGATTTATGAACCACTAATACAGGAGTATGTTATTTCGTAAAATAAAAAAAAATAAAATATAGAAGTAATTCAAAACTTATTGATAATCTTTTTGGTTGTGGAGTGATAACGTGAGATTGTCTTAGTATTTCACAGCAGGTATGAACATTTCTACTTTTGAAATCATGCTAATTTATTCAACAATTTTAAATTATTCCAACCGCTGTACGCAATTAACAAGAATTTCTTGTCATTATTACGGAGCAAAATTGCTCATCGTTGTCGACAAACAAAATTTATCTTTACTGGAGATATGTATTTAAAGACGAAAACATTTACATGATAATTTCATTTATTGTGTGATTTTGATCAGAGCGTCACCGTAAGTAACTAGTGAAGGTTATACATTAAACTAAAATTGAACAACTGTTTCAGATGATTCTGGTATACTTGGGCTGCTTCCTGCTAATTTTGTATTATCTGTATACAAGAAACTACGACTACTGGGAATCCAGAGGCGTCCCGTTTGAAAAACCGTTCTTCCTTTTTGGAAATTTCTACAAGATTTTCTCCGGGAAACAACACATTTCGCTTCGAATTCGCGAAATCTACAACAATTTCAGTTCACCTTACGTCGGAATCTACATTTTTAACCAGCCGAATCTGATAATCAGAAGTCCGGATGTTTTGAAACGAATTTTGGTTAAAGACTTCGACAAATTCGTTAATAGAAAAGTCGCTTCGAACGAAGCTGTTGACCCTATCGCGGCTCATACTCTTTTCACTTCGCAAGACCAAGTATGGAAAAATCTTCGGGCGAAAATTTCGCCGGTTTTCACTTCGGGAAAAATGAAGCTGATGTTGCCTTTAATGAAAGCGTGTGCTTCCGATTTCGTTAACCACTTGGACAAACACAACGGAGAGGTGATTGAAGTACGAGAAACAACGAAAAGATATGCCGTTGACATTATATCGTCTTGCGCCTTTGGGATTAATTCCGAGTGTTTCAACGACGAAAATTCTGAAATACTCAAAGAGGCTACAAAATTGTTGGATTTCACTTCGTTTGTTAGAAGCTTCTCAATTTTTAGTTTCTTCTTTGTACCCAAGTTTGTCGACATCTTTAGACTGACTTTGGTGGATAAATCTGCGTCCGACTATTTGGTTAATGTCTTCAGAACCACATTTAAAGAGCGTCAAAAGAGAAATATAGTGCGCAACGATTTAATCGATTTGCTTAACAATTTGAAGCAGAACGAGACTTTCAACGACAGCTACAAGTTCGACGATGTCAAAATGGCGTCTCAAGCTATATCGTTTTTCACAGCAGGAAACGACACGACGTCTGTGACTGTAGCTTTTATTTTATACGAGTTAGCTTTGCAGCCAAATATTCAAGATCGGCTTAGACGGGAAATCAGAGAAGCTTTCGAAAAATATGGGGACTTTACGTATGAAGCTATTAATGAAATGAAATATTTGGACATGGTGTTCAGTGGTAAATAATACACGACACTTAGGTTACTACTGTGATAAAATTTTATTTTTAGAAACTCTGCGAAAATATCCGCTAGCCACCTTTTTGAATCGAAAATCTGCCACTAAGTACACTTTTGAAGAAACTGGGTTCACCGTGGATGAAGGTGTTGCTATACTAGTTCCAGTGGCGGCGCTACATTACGATCCAAAATATTTTCCAAACCCCGAAAATTTTGATCCTGAGAGGTTCAGTAACGAAAACAAACACAAAATAGTGCCATATACGTACCTACCTTTTGGGGACGGTCCACGAAATTGTATTGGTACGTCTGTACACATAGATGAGTAAAGTCGTTAATTTTGCTATTGTAGGTCAAAGATTTGGGACTCTTGTGGGAAAAGTAGCTTTATCATATTGTTTGAAAGATTTTGCTTTCGAAAAAGCAGAAGCTACATCTGTGCCTTTGGAGTTTGAACCACGTACTCTCTTTATGGTAAATAAGAAGGGTCTATACTTAAGGGCAGTTAAACTCTGAAGATATTTTTATAAATGTCGAAACTCAGTCTTATTTTTGGTTAGTTTGTTATTTTTATATTTTTGAAATGTAACGTTTTTTAATTTTTAATAAAATAAGATTGATATTTGTAGTTTGATTTTTTAGCTTGATATCCGTCAGCTTAAATAACATTTAAATTCGTGGGGCAACGTTAGGTTAATTTAACTGCCGTAAATGAACTATTAACTAGCAATCTTGTGTGAAGAATAAGAAGTGTTATAATGTACCACTTAAATATTAGCATCCAGAAACCTCGTTCATAATTACATGAAGAAAGAACGCGTCCTGACTAAGTGAATTTCATGAAATCTCCTGGCAAGTTTTTATCTAAACAAATTCCTGATTGTGAAATTGTGTTAGAACTAGTGAACGATCAAAGTCCTAAACTGAACTGTGAATTTATCAACCAATGATTAAAATTTACACGTGTTAGCGTGTTGGGGAAAATTGTGGCGTCGTCGTAGTTACGATTAATTCACCACGTCTTTTCACCATGCTTTCACACAGAGAACTAAATCAACAATGACGCTTTCACCTCTCTACCAAGACGCCCTCTTCTAAGAACCCTCTAAGTAAAATTCCAAGCAGAAAACTACCCACTACCCCAAAGCGCCAACGTGCACTTGGTTGCCTATGTTTAACGATTTTTTGATTGAACTTTTTCAAATTCGAATTATTCAAATGTGATTTCGCGCCGCTGTTAATTTTTTTCAGCACGAAAGTTTGATTCAAATTCGGTCACCACAGAACATATTTTACACGGTAATTTCTCGTAGAAAATAAGGATTTTACAATTAAGCTCCGCCCCTCGGCTTACGACGAAAAGAAGGCAAAATATAATTAATTTTTGGCTTGTTTTTTCTTAATATACTTAGTATTTGATTAAAAACGATACTCAAAAACATGTTTTTTATTTCTTATAGAGAAATAAGGATTTTGCAAGAATTCATCAGAATTGAGATAGGGCGGGTGGGCGGGGCTTATATTTTGTCTTGTTTTCTTAATATGTGTAGTCATGTTTTCACAACAAAAAACTTAAAATGGTAAATTGGTATATGGAAATATCAATTTTGCAATTATGCTCCGCCCCTCAGTCTGACAACGAATGAAAAATTCATCACGATTGAGATCGAGACGGATGGGTGGAGCTTCTCTTTTGGTTTTCTTCTTCAATTAATACATTTAGTTTTTTTTTTGTATAACACAATTACTCAAGAACATATTTTTGATGGTAATTGGTCGTAGGAAAATAAGGATTTGACAATTAACCCCCCCCCCCCTTGATCTTACGACGAATAAAAAAATCATCAGAATTGAGATAGGGTGGGTGGGGCTTATATTTTGACTTTTTTTTTTCTTAATATACATAGCCATCTTTTCACAACAAGAAACTTAAGACATGGTTAATTTTTGCATGGAAATATGGATTTAGCAATTATGGGGCGGAGCCTAACTGCAAAATCGATATTTCTTTGTAAAAATTTTCCATTTTAAACATGTTTTAAGTTTCATGTTGTGAAAACAAGTCTACACACATATTAAAACAAAAAGGCAAAATCTAAGCCCGCCCACCCGCCCTGTCTCAATTGTGATGAATTTTTTTATTCGCCGTGAGTCAAAGCTACAAAATATTTATTTCTTTATAAGAAATTAAAAACAAATGTTTGAGTATTGTGTTTAAACAATATTACGAATATTAAGACAAAAAGGTCAAATATAAACCCCACCCACCCACCCCATCTCAATTGTAAAGATTTTTTTTTATTCTTAGAAACTTAAAACACGTTTCAAATGGTAAATTTTTGTGGGGAATTACGGATTTTGCGATTAGGCTCCGCCCCTAGGTCTGGCAACGAATGAAAACTTCATTACTATTTAGATCAGGGCAGGTAGGGGTGGGGCTTAATCTTTGGAAACTTTAGAATCTTTATAATTTTTAGCATATTCGGAAACTGCAAAGTGTTAAATTTTTTTGTAATTTTCAGCCTTTGAAATCTTAAAATCGTAAGAATCTTTAGATTCTTCGGAAATTGTAAATCTATTTTCATAAGAATCTTTTTGGAGACTTCGAAATATCCAGAATCTTCAGAAACATTAGAATTTTCAGAATCTTTAGAATCTCTAGAATCCCGGAATATCCGAAATCTTTGAAAATTTCCTAATATCTAGAGACTCCGAATATATGGAACTCTTCGAATATCTGGAATCTCTAGAGTCTCGGAATATCCAGAATTTTTGAATTTTTTGAAACTTGTGGAATAATGGAATTTTTATAAATTTTAGATTCTTCAGTCTCCAAAATTGCTAAAATCTTTGAAATCTTCAGAATTTTCAGAATTTTTGGAATCTTCAGAATTTTCAGAATCTTCTGCATTTTGAGAAACAAAAGAAAATTCAGAATCTTCAAAATCACCAGAATCTTCGGAATCTTTAGAACCTTTATTATTTTTATACTCTTTAAAATTTCTAGAACCTCTGGAATCTTTGAAATTTTTGAGATCTTTGGCATCTAAGGAAATTGTCAATATATTTTTAATCTTCAGAATGTTTTTGAGACTTCGAAATATCCAGAATCTTCGGAAACATTAGAATTTTCAGAATCTTTAGAATCTCTAGAATCCCGGAATATCCTAAATCTTTTAAAATTTACTAATCTCTAGAGTCTCCGAATATCTGGAACTCTTTGAATATCTGAAATCTCTAGAGTCTGGGAATATCCAGAATTTTTAAAATTTTTGAAATTTCTGGAATAATGGAATTTTTATAAATTTTAGATTCTTCAGAATCTCCAAAATTGGTAAAATCTTTGAAATCTTCAGAATTTTCGGAATCTTCAGGATCTTCAGAATTTTCAGAATCTTCTGCATTTTGAGAAATAAAAGAAAATTCAGAATCTTCAAAATCACCAGAATCTTCGGAATCTTTAGAACCTTTAGAATCTTTCGACTCTTTAAGATTTCTAGAACCTCTGGAATCTTTGGAATTTTTGAGATCTTTGAAATCTTTCTACAACATATTCTTCAGATTCTTCGGAACCTCAAAATTCTTACATTTTTTGGATTCTTCAGTTTTCGAATTATTCAGAATCTTCAGAAAGATTAGAATCTTTAAAATATTTAAAGTCTTTAGGATCGCTAGGATATTTAAAATCTTTAGAATTTTTGGGGTCTTTAGAATCTGCAGAATTGTTAGAATCCTTGGAATCTTCAGAATTTCCAGCATCTTTGGAATTTCGGAATATCCGGAATTTCTGGAACCTTTAGAATCTTTAGAATTTTTGGTATATTAGGAATCTTCACAATGTTCAGATTTTTTGTAATTTTCAGCCTTTGAAAGTCTTAAAATCTTCAGAATCTTCAGAAATTTTAGATTATTCAGCATCTTTAGAATCTCTAGAATCACGAAATATCCGAAATCTTTGAAATTCTTGGAATCTCTAGTGTCTTGGAACATTAGGAATTTTTTTAATTTCTGAAGTAGCTAGAACCTTTCAAATTTTTATAATCTTCAGAATCTTTCTAATCTTCAAAGTCTGCAGACATTTTGGAATGTCCAGCCTTCGAAATACGAATACTTTATAATTTTCGAAATCTTTGGAATCTTCAGAATTGTTACAATTTTTGGAATATTCAGAATTTTCAAAATCTTTGGAATCTTCAGATTCTACAGAAATTTCAGAATCTCCAGTGTCTCTTTTTCGAATTTCTACAATCTACAGTCTCTAAATATCTGGAACTTACGAATATCTGGAATCTCTGGAGTCTGGGAAATCTGGAATTTTTGAAATTTCTGGAACTTTTGGAACGTTAAAATTTCTCTTGTTCACGGAATACTATGTACATTAAAAAAAGAAGGTAAAATTATTAATTCTTGCAAATCCTTTCCAGGAGATTCTATTTTGCTTCAGAGTGCGACTTTCGTACGATATTTATATTCAAACTGAATTAATATTTTGAAGATTTGTTTTATCTATGCAACCAACATTACTCTTAATTTTAAATATTTTGAATAACTGGTTTAACTTTTTTCATAGAAATTTTGTGGCAATTGCTTTATTTAATGTTTTTTGAGCTTCACAGTAGGTAAAATACGATAAAACAGGTTACGGTTGACACTCAATAAATTTCTTCATCAAATTTCAAATTTTTCTTACCGCTTAAGCAGTCGGCGAAATTTTCTTAATTGTCACAATTACTCTGCAAAAAAGATACTATTACATTTAAATATCATCGCTATCAGAATTTAATTTCAAGTTTCGACAGTCATTAATAAACAACATTTATCTTTGTAGCTGATATGTATTTAAAAGTGAAGACACTTACAAGAGAAATTTATTAAGTGTGCGGTTTTGATCAAACCGTCATCGTAAGTTCTCACCAAAAACCAAACCTTGAACTAAAATTCAGCACTTCTTTCAGATGATTCTCGTATACTTGGGCTGCTTGCTCCTAATTCTGTATTACTTATACACCAAAAACTACAGCTACTGGGAGTCCAAGGGCGTCCCATTCGAAAAACCTTTCTTCCTTTTCGGCAACTTCGCCAAAATAATCGCCGGCAAACAGCACATTTCGTTCCGGATCCGCGAAATCTACAACAAATTCAACACCCCGTATGTGGGAATCTACATCTTCAACCAGCCGAACCTGATCATCAGAAGCCCAGAAATCCTAAAACGAATTCTGGTGAAAGATTTCGACAAGTTCGTCAACAGAAAAATAGCTTCGAACGAAAATGTTGACCCCATTTCGGCCCACACTCTCTTCATGTCTCAAGACCAGATATGGAAGAACCTTCGGGCGAAAATTTCCCCGGTTTTCACTTCCGGGAAAATGAAGCTGATGCTACCTTTAATGAAGGAGTGTGCTTCGAATTTGGTCAACTACGTGGAGAAACACAGTGGAGAGGTAATTGAAATTGGGGAGACGACGAAGAAGTATGCCGTGGATATTATCTCGTCGTGTGCTTTTGGCGTCAATTCCGGCTGCTTCAAAGAGGAAAATTCTGAAATGTTTACAGTCGCTACGAGATTGTTGGACTTCTCTTCGTTTGTTAGAAGTTTCTCAATTTTTAGTTTCTTTTTTGCACCCA